GTGCTGTGGTCATTATGACTTATGTAACTTTTTTCTGTCACTCTCTTTTTGTGTGTGTGTTCAGTATTAAAAAGATTAGATTTGCTTTTGAGGTTTTTATAATGCATTTTGTGTATCCTCTTTACTTTCCTTTGTTTTATCTTCCCCTTTTTAGTTTTCTTTATCCACTTATTTTAAATATATCCTACTTTTGCTATAATCGTTTGAATTTTCTATCAGAAAAATTATATATTCATTAGAATGTAAAATTTTACTTTCTTTATTTTTAAATATGTTTTTGTTGATTTGAGAGAGAGAGAAAGGGAGAGGGAGAGAGAGAGAGAGATAGAAACATTGATGAGACAGAGACATGGATCAGCTGCTTCCTACACACTCCCTATTGGGGATCAAGCCCACAACCCAGGCATAGGCCCTGACTGGGATTCGACCTGGTGACTTCTTGGTGCATGGGATGACACTCAACCAGCTGAGCCACACTGGCCAGGCTTTACTTTCTTATCAATATTCATATTTAAAGATAAAGGTAGTTCAAATTTCTTTATACACAAAAATTTTACTGTAATACTTTCAGTTGTCTTTCTGAATATTATATCTTGGAAAACTAATTCTAATCTGATTATAGCTATTAAACACATAACTACTTTTTGCAGTTATTTTATCAAAGTAATGACTTATATCCAGCTTTCTAAGAGAATCTCAGAAAAAATTAGGGTTTACCATTCAAAGGTACTAAAATCCTTAAGATATATAATTGTTTTAGGTTTCAAACCTATAGTCTCTGATATATATCATTCAGTTATGTTTCTTCTTATTTTAATGGGATATTTCTGTTTTTAGAAGGGTTTCTTTGTTGCAAATAAAAAATTCAAAATGACAGAATCATAAGAGATATGATATGGGTATTTTCCAGGGATCAAAATGAAGATGAGGTGTTGAAGGATAGACAATGGTAGCTCTAAAGCAATGGTTCTCAGCCTTCCTAATGCCGCGACCCTTTAATACAGTTCCTCATGTTGTGGTGACCCCCACCCATAAAATTATTTTCGTTGCTACTTCATAACTGTAATTTTGCTACTGTAAACAATATGTAATTATATATGTGTTTTCCGATGGTCTTAGGCGACCCCTGTGAAAGGGTCGTTTGACCCCCAAAGGGATCGCGACCCACAGGTTGAGAACCGCTACTAAAGGAACTAGATTTCATGTCATGTTATGTTAAATTTTTAAGGAAACAGAAAGAAAACGGTTTGGGCTCTATGATATCATTAGTACTATTTATATTCTCTTAAGTTCAGAGGTTTCAGGGATAAGAAAATATATGCAAAGATGGAGACAATTTTTATTGGTGTACTTTCAAAATGCTCTTATGGAATAAGCACACTTTCTTTTTTTAATTTTCTTTCCATTTGCTTTAAGATGTATATGTAGGTGGGAAGAATAAGGAAATCATATATTTTTAACAGTTCCATGATATAGTACATGTTAAAATAAAGATATTAAACCAGTATTATGGCAATAAAACCCAAATATTCTATAGATGTAGAAATGCTGTTACTCTATTTAAAGTTAACTTATTATTTAAATTAATTCATATCTCTGACCTTTTTTAAACCATGCTGAAAAAGTTATGTTAATTAAGTTTGATTAGATTGTTTTCTGTGAAAGTTCACTTTTACTTTCCTTGCACTTTCACACAATTAAAAATAACTCACATCATTGAAAATAATTTCTGATTATAAATAATATTGTAGAAACTGGGGCCAATTATTTAAGAAAAAGCTAGAATTTCATCTTCTCTCCCAGTATAGGATCTTAATTATGAAAACCAATCACTTGTCATAAGGGAATGCCTTTTTTCTCTTTAGGAAGGTTTTTATTTTAATTTGGAGATATATTAGAAATGGAGAATAGCTTTTTAAACATGATAATATGCAGAGAGTGTAAGTGACAAAACTGAACTGAGCTAGTCTTTTAAGAAATGCCAAGTTTTTTCCATTTTCTATCCCTCTAAAGATTGAAAAAAGGGAGAATATCTCAGGTCTGTAGTTGTGGTTGGCATTAATATCATTGAACTCTGTTATCTGTTACTGCTAGTTGTGTAGCAACAACTTATCCCTTCATTTTCTTCATTAAGTATAAGGGAGTCTTCAACTGCTAAGTTGGAAAAAAGGAGCCGTATTTATTGTCTTTCTCATCATTGTTATAAGTAGATATTTCCTTATTTGAATGGGGCAAGTATTGTAGACATTGTGTGAATTAGCAAGATAGGCAAGTGCTTTTGAATCATAACCATGAAGTAGTGTTTATTCATGTTGTTCACAGAATACTGACTCAGGATATGTTGATATGAGAGTAAGGAATTTTTTCTTTTGAATTTTTGTTTGTTTATTTTATTACCAATTGCTAGCTCCTTAGGAGTCTATCCTCTTGTGCCAGAGTCACATTCCTCATTTTCATTCCTGGGCCTATGCAAAAGACTCAAGAGCTGAGTTTGGGTCAGGATCATCATCTATTTTCAGCTTGAAGCTGGGATTTTCAGAATTAACATCTATCCATTTCTTTAAAAATATGGTCAGTGAAATGCCTTCTTTTTAAAAAACATATGTTTTTATTGATTTCAGAGGAGAAGGGAGAGGGAAAGAGAGAGAGAAAAACATCAATGATGATAGAGAATCATTGATTGCCCACCTCACACCTGCTGTTGGGGATGGAGCCTGCAACCTGGGCATGTGCCCTGACTGGGAATCGAAACATGACCTCCTGGTACATAAGTTGATGCTCAGTCATTGAGCCACAGCAGCTATACAGTGGGATGCCTTCTTCATGTTACTTTCTCTCTGAATACTTAAAAGAAACAAGGCCCACTCTATTTTTTTGCCTTCATTTTTTTCAACTTTTCATTTATGCCATTTCGTATATCCTCATGCAATCTTATAATTCCTATTAAAATGAAAGGGTATAAATACATAGGATGAAACAAAGTTTGACACTAACTTAATGTTTCTTTTGTGTTTGCCACCTGTGAAGCATATCAGATATCACCTATGTAATGTTTAATCAAAAACATGTGGTAAGCCCTACTTTGGACCTATTAAATTCAAAATTTAGGGTAATGAGGCCTAAACTTATATTTTTCAAAACTTCCCCCAGCTCTTTCTGACATGTATCTTTGATTTAGAACCACTGTGCTAAAGCATGTTTTCTGTTTTATTTTTCTAGGACAGTATGTGATGTAACTCTATGGTGAATATTTTTCTGGAATAAGTATTGTTAGGAGTTGTTTTTTTAATTTTAATTTTTTAAATATATTTTTATTGATTTCAGAGAGGAAGGGAGAGGGAGAGAGAGATAGAAACTTCAATGATGAAAGAGAATCATTGATTGGCTGCCTCTTGAACACTCACACTAGGGATTGAGCCTGAAACTCGGGCATGCACCCTGACTGGGAATCGAACCTGTCACCTTCTGGTTCATAGGTCAATGCTCAACCACTGAGACACACTGGCTGGGCAGGTATTTTTTATTTTTTTGGTTTGTTTGTTTTTTAATTTACCTGTTTTTATATTAACTTTAAAAAGATTTTTATATATGTACTTGTGTATACTTATAATATGTGTATATATATATATATATGTATACTTAAATATACGTACACACTTGATTTTTTCATCATTGGATTATGAAAATGACTACAAACATTTATTTTGATATGTCCTATTTTTCTTGAAGAAGGATCCATTTCCTGGTGTGTAGCAAAGCTATGAGTGGGAATGATCTCATTCTCACCATTAACCATTTTAGTAAACACTGATGATGGTGATAAATTTAGTCTTGGCTGTTGTAACTGTCATTGGCAGCTTAGAATGACATGCTCATATAGTTTGCATAGAATTTAAATTCATAATTGAGAAATCAAATAAAATTAATGAGTTAAGCCAAATTTTGGTTGCCAAAACCAGCCTTTTGGGGATTGAGGACTTGCTGAATTTGAATATTATTGTTTTTCAAGTGTCTTTATGATTTAATATAAGCCTATTCATACTTCCTAAGTCAGCACTTTTTTGATAGTGAGAACATTGCTTTTGATACAGATTTGTTGCTATTGTGAATATAAGCAAATTCATTAGTTTTTTTATCTGCTTAAAACTTGAAGTGCATATCACAGAATTTACAAAGACTGAATTTTTGGTTAAAATTGCCTTTTGTTTGATATAAGTGGACAAAATTATATGAAGCTGATAACAGAAAACAAACTATTGTCTTCAACATAAACACATTTAAGAAAAATTGCTCATATTATATGGCACCAAAAATTTTTAGTACCAGGTAGTAGTTAGATTTTTATAGGCAACTACTACTAATAGTTTGCTTAAATCTGTTACACTGTTTTCATGCTAGCACATTGTGTGAGTTAAAAAATTGCTTATAAGTGCGGTGCTATTGTTTGTCAATTCCTGTACCTCATCTGATGACTGTTCTCAGCAGTTTCCTTCATTTTCAAGCCCTTTAAATATAATGAGTCACTTTGATGGTTCCTAGCATGGCTTTTCAGAACTCATCAAGAAAAGGCATGTTATTGATAAGCATCTCCACCCATTGAGTTCTCTTATTCTTAAAAAGGAATCCATACATTTTCATCCCTATCAGAATAAAGCTGATTGAGTTAATTCCATTAAAATCAGGGGAAACAACTGCCATCATCTGTGTAGATATTAAGTGAACATTTTAAAAGGAGAATAATGCTAAATTAAAAGGAAAATAATTCACCCTCACTCTTACTATGTTATGTGGATGAGTAATAGGGAAAAAACCTCAAATGGCCAAGAAAAGCTTCTAAATCTCATTTTCTTTGATGGGTTTGGAGATGAATTCCCAGTTGTTGCATGTAACGCTCAGAGAGAGGTAACTATAAAGCTAAATAAGCTGCCAACCATGTCTTAAAAATTAATTCTGCCTTTTTTTTTTTTTTTTTTTTTGGTGGGTGGTGGATTTGGTTTTAGGATATGACAGCTCGTGATCTGCTACAGCAGAGATACACTCTTCCCAATGGAGACACCGCCTGGCGGTCCTCGCCCCTTGTGAATGCTGCTCTGGAGGGAAAGCTGGTCCTGTTGGATGGCATTCATCGGGTCAACGCAGGCACGCTCGCTGTGTTGCAAAGGTTTGCATGTGTCAAACACAAAAAATACTCCAAGGAAACAGTAGACATGGAACTCCCTCCATCTTCACTTTTAAAACTGGGCTACATAGATCCTTAAAAACTTAAAATTCTATAGCTAAGTAGAACAGACTTTTTAAAAAAAGTCTGTGTGTTTTAAAAAACTTTTAAGTAGTGATTTTGAATGACTTTTTATATATGCTTATTAATATATGCAGCAAGTCACACAGCTCCAGTGTCTACAGTTTGTCAGAGTCACCTCTCCACTGTTTACAACTCCTTGTGAATCATAGATTTACTGGTTGATCTTGTTGGAATTTTTTTTTTTTGAGAGAAAACGTAGTTCCTTCTGTAAAATGTGCAATAGCTGTTTTATTGTATTTTTAATCTGAAAAGCTCACTTTGTGTTTACAAACTGGAACATTTGTTTAACTGTTGTTCTCTTACTGTATTTTAGGTGAGGAAAATATCCACACATTCCTAATTAACTGCTCTTGAATTTAATATTAAGGAAAATTTTCATGTGTGATTTTTATGGAAAATATTCCCATTCTGTGTCAGTGAAGATACTAATTTTTATAGTTGTTCAAGCTTGATTCTATCACTTATAGACATTTGGTTTCTAACTTTGACTTATCAGGAAAGTTCAAATAAGTGGAATGATTCCCCAACTAACTATTCAGAGTCTTTTTCCCTTGAAAACATGTAGATACTAAGTATAATTAAAGATTCCAAAAACATTGTGTTAAAAATCCTGATTAGATTTGAGAACATTTAAAAATACTTTCAGTGATTTATCATAAACAATCAATAGATTTATAATTTTTCTCTTCTAAACAGACTGATGCAGACACAAACAAAATAACACTCCCCCCTTTTATTAGCTATCTCTTGCCCATTAGGCCAAGTAGAAATAGCTGCAGCAGCTACCATTAATTGAGTACTTACTCTGTGCTGGGCATTGTGCTAAGCCAGTGTGTCTGAATTCTCAACTTTGGAATCACCTTGTGGGCATGAAGCTTAAAAATGCTTGATGCCTGGGCTCTAGCCAACTTGAAATTTCAAAAGGTGCACCTAACCCTTCTCAGGAGATTCTGACGTGCAGCCAAGGTTGAGAACAACTGTATTAAGCACATGCCTTCCATCAACTGTTTACGTGGTTGCTATTATAATCCTAATTGTATAAAAAAATAAAAGTTTAAAGAGGTGGAGTAATTCCCCCCTCCCTAGTCATTCTTCTCATAATGTACAGAGGTGGTTTGAACCCAAGTCCAACCGATGCCACTGCCCATGCTTCTAACCTTTGCATTATGCAGACTCCCTTCCCCTCAGTGCTTATAAGTGGCCATTGTGTGGGGCAACTGTAATGTGGGCATCAGGAGACTTGGTGGCTGGAGTAAGATCTAGAACAGCACTTTTCAACCTCTGCAACATCTGGAAGACAATGCTGCCATGCTGTGGATAGTTAGGTCAACATAATAGTGGATACATGAAATAGCACTAGCTATTATACAGATTTTTGATCTTTTAAATCCTGTAATTCCAAAGATAGAAATATTTTGAGTAGTTAAAAAATTATATTGGACTCAAGGGAGCACATGCCAACTGCCTTAAACATTAATTTGCACCTCATGGTTATCCTGAGTCACTCATTCAGCTGTTTCTTTTTATTCCCCTCCCCCCTCTACCTTTCCAGCTCCTCCTCATCCTCAGCCTCCTCCTCCCTGTCCATATCTAGTATCCATGACTGTTGCTCTTTAGTACAGAAACCAACATTTTTGCCAACTATAACAGCACTAGCCAACTTGAAATTTTGAAAGATGCAACAAAAATTGTTAGACTCAATTGCCAGTAATAATGGACATTATTAAAATGTTAACTGACTGATTTCTACTTCCAATAACTTTGCTGTTCAAAACTGATTACTTTGTTTTCTGATTTTTCTCTGTCCCTTTAGGTTGATCCATGATCGAGAGCTAAGCCTCTATGACGGTTCCAGGCTACTGAGGGAAGACAGGTATATGCGTTTAAAGGAGGAGCTGCAAATGTCTGATGAGCAGCTACAGAAGAGGTAATTTTGTATACGCTATACTTACTCTTATTATCAAGTGTGCCTTCATTTTCTTATTCTTCTAACCTTAGTGTCAAACCAAGATAATTTTGAACAAATTAATAATTTGGTGTCCTAGGCATGTTTGTAGTTTGATACTTTTTAAAACTTTGAGGTTACTACCCAGGATGAGTTCCATACTCTCAGCCTAATTTACATAAGTGTTTAAACATTTTATAAGGATATTAGTTTTAAGAAGGTAGTTTTCTGTTGCCCTAGCCACTTGTTTCTTTTCAATAAACAAACAAAAAGTTTCATCAACTCAGCCCACTCCTAAGAAGTCATCGGTTATTACTGGGGTATGCCACCTGGTTCAGGATTATCCTTTGTGGCTTCTTTAAGCCTTTTCCAGAGACATAACCACAAAATGCTATATATGAGACTTGATGGGATCTTGGATCAGGACATAAAAATGAAAACGGCTATAAAAGACACTGTAGGGACATTGAATTAATAATAATTTTCTTAAGTGTCATAATGGTATTGTGGTTATGAAGGATAATATCCCTATTCTTAGGGACACAAGCTGAGATATTTAAGGGATAAAGTAGAAAGATGTTTATAACTTACTTCCAAATGTTTCAGGGGAAAAAAGACATACAGACATATACACACTACATGAAGAGAGGGAGAGAGATCAAGAGAGCGAGAAAACAAATGTAAAATCTTAACAATTGGTGAAATCTTGGTGAAGGATATATGGGTGTTCATATTCTACTCTTTCAAATTTTTGTGGGTTTGAAAAATTTCAAAATAAAAAGATTGAAGGAAAATATTTTTTTTTGCTGCGTACTGTACTTTTCCTTAGAGGAGGTTTGGCAAGTACAAGTTATTTTTTTGTCTCATCACATTTCCATGTTATTTTGACATAATTAGAGATTGTTACTTTGGATAATTCTTAGTCACTTAGTTGGATCTTATTTAATTGAAGCTTAACCTTGATCCAAAGGGTTTGCTGTCACATTTAAAACATTAAAATTCTACAGATGATAATTAAGTATTTATGTTTTAAGGAGAGTTTTGTTTAAAGATTGCCTTGGTATTTTTTCATTGAGAGGAAATGTTAAATTTTTTACTATCGCTGTATAAAATATTTAAAAATTCACTTGATTGTACAACTATTTATGCTCCTGAGGTGCACATCGTCACACTTCTCCACCCAGTAAGTGGATTGATTGAGTGTTAGGGAGGCAAGGTATAAAGATCCCATTCATTTCACACCTTCAGTTTATGACATTCAGCTTTTGCATGTGACTCATTTGTCAGAGAGAAGTTTTCATTTCTCAGGGAGATGAATCAAAGCAGTTGGGCATTAGCTCTCAGCAAGCCTGCCAGTCAGTTTCCCTTAGGACCTCAGGAGCATCGTGTTTGTAGCTAAACATGCAGGAAGTGATAACCCTTTTCTATGAAAAGTACCCAAGTTCTCCCTAATGGTCATAGGCAGTTTTACAAATGAAAACACTTTCAGGAAAAGAGTAAAACTCTGAGCATCATACTCAGGGTTTGGCCCATGTGGTTAGTTGTACTCCTTAATGTGTCCCATCTTCGCATTGTTGATTTTCAACTCTCCCTTGAGTATAAACCAGACTCAATTCCATCTCCAGAGATCTGGGTAGGTAGAGACAGGTCATAGCACTGCTTGGTTTCCTTCACTTACATTTTATTTGAATTTTTTATTACTGTTAAACATTCATGAAATTTGAGCCAGATAGTTTTTCAAGGCTTTTAATTTAAAATATCAGCCCTGTCATCTGTTCTAGGACACTCCCTTTTGCCATTCTCCAAAAGCTACCACTTTCAACTCTTAACTGTTTCTTTTGGTATTTACCTCCATATCACTAAACAGTATACTTTCAGTGATATTTCTTGATATATTTTTCAGTATTTGGCACTATCTAGTCATTTCCTACAATGGAAAATTAAGATTTAGCATTCTTTCACCATCCTTCTTCCCATTACACATACATACTTCCTATTCCCCATTCCTCTCCTACGTAGTTATATAGTAACTAGGAGCCCAGTGCATGAATTTGTGCACCTTGAAAGGAACTGTGGCTGCGAGACTGTGGTGGGCACAGGGTGGGTCTTGGCCCATCCTACGAACCCCTGCCCAGCACCTCCCACTGAGGCCCACGGTCCCCTGTCTGCTGGCAGCCCCGTTCCTGCCACTCCCACATGCTGATAGCACCGGCCCCACTCGCACCTACTGACGATGTGGAGTGATTGGGGCCAGCGCCAGCAGTGGGTGCAAGCGGGGCCGGGGTCATCAGCAGGTACAAGTGGCGGCTGCTGCCCTGATTGCCCCTCAGGAGCAGGGGGATGTGGAGAAGCCCTCAGGAGTGATCGGGGTCAGCAGCCGCCACTTGCACCCACTGATGGCGCCGAGCGATTGGAATCAGCGCCAGGTGCCAGCAGCCAGCAGCGGGTGTGAGCGGTGGCTCTGGTGCTGGCTGTGGGTGCGAGCGGCGGCTCTGATGCCGGCAGTAGGTATGAGCGGGGCCAGCGCCAGCAGCAAGTGCAAGCTCCAGGCAGGACCGCGGCACGCAGGAGCAAGAATATTCAGTAACCACCAGAGGCTCGCCCCGATAACAGTGACCGGCGCCTGCCTTGGTCTGGTGCCCCTGCTCACCTGCTCCACCATCCCGCCATGGTTGACACCTACCATGTTCCGTGCTCTGCTACCTGCTGCCGATACCTGCCATGTTCTGCGTGTGTCCCCTAGTGGTCAGTGCACGTAATAGCAACCAGTTGTTCGGTTGTTCCGCCGTTTGGTCTATTTGCATATTAACCTTTTATTATATAGGATTTTGTTTGGAACTTAATAGAGTGTTTGCATTATTACCACAGCATAAGAGCTATACACAGATGAGCCATTCAGTAAACTACAGTTGTTTATCCTTTCTTGCATACATTTGTTTTCCTAAAGTTAATACTTGCCTACATATGAAAAGTGGCAGATGTATAAATAACTAATTACAATGCAGCTTTTAAATGTTAGACTAGAGATCTGTATAGTAATGCTTTGGGAACATAGGGGAGGAAATGACCCTATTTTCTATGTACTTACACTTTTTCATCCAACACTTCCCTATTGTCTCAATCTCCTCTCAACACATTAACATTATCAGTGTATCTTCTGTCAGTTTCATTTTCCTCCCATAGTGTATACTGACTAGCAATAATTGGGACTTGTTCTCCATGCTTATAGCTCATATGTCATTCTACCTCTCTCCCCACTTCATTCTACCTCTCACTCCCACTTCCCCTTTCCTCTGGTCTCTTTTTCTGCAACTTTCATTAGTTAAATGTTGAACCTCCTGGACTGGACTTCTAATTTTCTTTTCTCTCCTACATTCTGACAGTTTGTCAGGACTTCATTGACTTTTCAGAGGTGAGATATCTAACAACTGATTCTGCTCTCTGTCAGAAATATATCTACCATTTGAAAGCCTAATTCCTTTTCTTATCAGAATCTGCTTCACCTGGTGATATGGATTGTTGCTAAATTTCTTTACATTTTCTTGGTTAACCTTGATTAAGCTTTGTAGCCTATTTTTGTCTTTCTAAGAGTGTGTTCTCTTGTAGGGTTTTATTAGGTTAGATTTTTTCCTTTAAGCCAGTGATTCTCAACCTTCCTAATGCCATGACCCTTTAATACAGTTCCTCATGTTGTGGTGACCCCCAATCATAAAATTGTTTTCGTTGCTACTTCATAACTGTAATTTTGCTACTATTACGAATCATAATGTAAATATCTGATATTCAGGATGTATTTAGGCGACCCCTGTGAAAGTGTCGTTCGACCCCCAAAGAGGTCGCGACCCACAGGTTGAGAACTGCTGCTGAGTCAATTGACAGTATTTCTTTCAAGGCTGTTTATTGGATAGAGAGCTGGCACCTTAACTAAAAGGACATAGCATAGCCTAAAAAGCAGGAAATTTGTACTCAGTGAGGAAATTAATTTATTTCATGTGTTGTTCTTGTAAGTAATATGGCCCATTATTTATCTTGGGTTGATCTTATATGCTCTCTATATCTAATATGTTACTCTTGGCATTAGCATTAGACCTGCAAATTACAAACTCAAGCCTAAGTCATCTGTGCTTTTCATTTCTGTACCTTATAGCAAACTGAAGTTCAGAAAAAATGATCTCATATAATAAAAGGCCAATATTCAAATCGACCGAACGGTGGAGTGACCGGTCAGTATGATGCGCACTGACAACCAGGGGGAAGATGCTCAATGCAGGAGCTGCCCCCGGTGGTCAGTGCACTCCCACAGGGGGAGCGCTGCTCAGTCAGAAGTGGGGAGCGGGCCTAAGCTGGCAGTCGGACATCCCATAAGGGCTCCCGGACTGCAAGAGGGCACAGGCTGGGCTGAGGGACCCCCCAAGTACATGAATTTCGTGCACTGGGCCTCTAGTTATTTATGATAGTCTTTAAACAAACTCAGCTATCAATGTTTGGGGATTTTGAAATAGAAAAAAAGGTCAAAGTTATAATGAAGGGAAGGCAAATTTAAGAGCTTCTTTGCCTCTAGACCAGCCGTGGGCAAACTACGGCCCGCGGGCCGGATCCGGCCCATTTGAAATGAATAAAACTAAAAAAAAAAAAGACCGTACCCTTTTATGTAATGATGTTTACTTTGAATTTATATTAGTTCACACAAACACTCCATCCATGCTTTGTTCCGGCCCTCCGGTCCAGTTTAAGAACCCATTGTGGCCCTCAGTCAAAAAGTTTGCCCACCCCTGCTCTAAACCCAAATTGGTAAATTTAGAAGTCTTTTGGGCTTTCAGATAGGAATAATTTTTATATTTGTGTTTGGCAGGACTCCTTTAGTTACAAGTAACAAAAAAACTTTGTCTTAAAAAGGAACTTAATGGTATCTCATACTTTGAAAGGAAGTGCAAGAATGAGGTTGTGCCTCATGAAATAACTGGAACCTAGGACTTTAATCTTGTCAGGACTCTCTGTCTTGCTCTATACTTTATTTCTAATGTCACAACACCTGGCACATACTAGATCACTTAACAAGTGTATTTGAATGAGTAACTAAATCTTAACCTAGGATAAATTCTAGGAAAGCAAGGTAAAGCTGATTCTATTAATCTAGTTTTAGATGATCTTCTAAGCTAGCAATGTTTCTTTTTATGAATCTTTCAATTAGGAACACTTTGCCTTTTAATGACAAGTCTGATGCCATAGGGTCTCATAATTAGCAACTAACTACCAAGACTTTAAACTTCATAGTGTTAAACCTTATATTTGACTCCTTTCTGGACTTCATTGTATATCATGTGAATGATATTATTTGTTTTAATCAATTCTGTTCAAAACCCCAATAGAAATATTAACTTTAGAGGGTAATATCATCCCATGCTAAGAGAAAGGAGAGATGAAACTCACACACTTGCCAAGATATTCAGAAAAAAACAATACAAGTACAAAACTAGCATTTCTCCAGAAATGGACTGTGTGTTGCCATTAACTATTATAATGGAGCCTGATAGTCAAGTGATTAGGCTGCTAGCATATCAGGAAGTAGGATATGTGTGGAGAAAAATCAGATAAGTACTTTAACGATTTCGGATAAGGAAAAGTCCTCCTGAAACAACAGGTAGGTCTAAGCCCCTGACCACATAATCTGTAATTGAGAGGCCACACCATAATTTGTAAGCCAAGTAAAAGCAGTTTTTAGAAATGCTCATGTGAAATGTATGGATGAAAACTCTCAGACATGATTTCTTTTCTCTAGGTAGGGAAAAAAGACTTATCTACAGATATTCAAGCAGGGCATAGGATAATTTGTCCAAAGGAGTTGTTCTGGGAAAAGTGGGAATGATTACAACATAGATAGTACGTGAAAGTCTTGAGGATAAAGCGATCACTCAGAATTTCTAGTAATTAATTAGGTAGTTACGTAACAGAATCTGGACACAGAAAATTCTGTGATTTGAAAGCTAAAAGGGAAAGTTATCTATTTTTCACTTCTGCTAAGTGGTTTGTTATAATCCAGAGATCTCTGCTTCATGGCCCAGCAATAGATGTTGGATTCATCCTTGATCCTCTTCTCTCCTAGTTAGAAGAGCAATTAACATGAAAGCAAGTTAGGTGGTTAGAATTTAAATAACATGATGGTCATTGCTCTGGACTAATATATACTAGTATATATTGCCTGTGGCTTGCTTTTTTGATACTGACTCTAGCTGGGTACCTGCCCCAATTTAAAGAAGGCAATTTCTGAGATAGAAGGTAGGTTAGGCAGAGAAGTGTATGCTGACTACAGAAACGTTATCAAGCTATTAAATAACAGGATGAGAAGGACTTTTTTGTTTGCTAGCTTCTCCCCAAAGGCTTCCTTATATGTAAATAGGTCATGTGGAAAGTCATTTCCTGATGATATTAGGTTCTCCAAGTCTGAAAGTTAGAGAAGAGAGTACTTCTGAGGATCTGCCAACTAATTTCAGGTGGTTTGACATACTGGTGGGTAATACAAAGGCTGAAGTGGTGCATAATTGGGAATTAAGACACAGCACTATTAAAATTTAAACTCAAGGGTAACTTTAATTTTACCAGAATTTAACAACAAATAACAAATGAAACTAAAGATATGGCTTAACTTTAGATAAATAGATATTATTTCCTAAATATTAAAATTTTTTAAAGCAAAAAAATCTTACAAAAAGATTTTTAAAATAAAAATATTGGAGTCAATATGTTTGTTTGGAGGGTGAGTATAAATTTTTAGAGAGTACTTTTCAGTGCTTCTCAGCAATAAAAAGGAGTTAATTATTGATATATATATATATATATATATATCTCAATGTGGAAGATAATTATGCTGAGTGAAAGAAGCCAGACCAAAAAGAGTACATACTGTGTGATGCCATTTATATAAAACCCTAGAAATACAAACTATAAAAATAGTTTCCTAAGGGTGTGAGAAAGGGCAGGAGTAAGGGATTACAGAAGAGTCTGAGGATACTTGGGGGGTCATAAATGTTTTCATTTGCTTGATTATAATAATGGTTTTATAGGTATGAATAAATATCAAAAATTATCAAACTGTACACTTTAAATATGCAGTTTATTATATGTCAGCTATACTTCAAGCTATAATAAAACAAAAGAGAAAGGTTACAATAAATTCCAATCTTTTGAAGGAAATATGGTAGATTTTTGTCGATTTGTATATAAAGGAACTTGAAAGAATGATATAGAAGGTTTCTGCAAAGACATTAATCATGAACAGAAGAGGATTTTGTAACTGGCCTCCCATACCAGAATACTAGTGCTCCACTTCAGAACCTAGAGGTTATGCAGTTCAGTACACACCCCACATTTCCCCTTTTTTTCTATGCAATGTAGCAAACTCCATAGACACATTCCTTATTCATCTTTATACCACCCAAGGTCTATTGTAATTCCTGAAGAGAGCAGATGCTAATTAAATAAATGAGTGCATTGCTATAGTTCATCACCATCACTGCAAGAAACTTTTTAAAGACCTTTGGTGGAAACCACAAAACAAAAGTAAGTGATAGGAACTGAAAATAATGTGTTCATACCCAAAAGCAGAGCCACTAGTCTAAATCTGGTCTTGAATGAATTTGTGAAACAAGGTAGATTCTCTGAATAAAAGAGACGAAACCAGTACATAAAATAATAATTAGACCCTTCAGAGTCACAGAATTTAAAATTGTTCCTTGACCATAAAAATGTTTAGGATTATTTTTCCAACTCAGAATCGAGTTAAGGCTTTTTGTTTTGAGAATCAAACACAAAGACTTAGGCATACAATACTGGATCTAGCCCTAGCCGGTTTGGCTTGGTATTTAGATTGTCGGCCTGAAGGGTCTTGGGTTCGCTTCTGGTCAAGGGCATGTATCGCAGTTGCAGGCTGGTTGGGGCATGTGTGGCAAACAACCTATGTGTCTCTCTCATGTTGATGTTTCTCTTTCTCGATCTCTCCCCCTCCCTTCCACTCTCTAAAAATCAATGGAAAAAATATCCTCGGGTGAGGATTAACAACAACAAAAATCTGGATCTACCTTAAATTTTTAAAAAAACTTACATGACCCAATTCGCTTAACAAGAAGATGCTTGAGTTTCTGGGAAAGTAGGAGACAAAGCTGAGATTATAACTATCTTCAAACCTAAGAGTAAGAGTAAAAGGGTCCAGAGAAATCTACCGATTATGGATCTGCCCAGTGTCCAGTTGTAGTTCACCACTGACCTATATAATAACTGAGAAATTATAAACTGTTTTCAATGTTCAATCACAATAAAAAATAATATATTCAACAAAAATGGAAAAAAAAACCCCCACACATGTTAGAACATATATGATTAAAACTGAGACTAGGCCACTGATCTTTACTGCTTCCCTGAGATAACCAGAAGCCTTTTCTTGGCAAAATAAACTATTGGTAATTCATTATTTTCTCAAGAAAATCTCACGCTCCTCATCTATGCTCAGACCAACGGCAGGAAGAGACACATTTAGCAACCTATAGTATTTGTACTCAACCTTTCCCCAAAGAAGTTTTTCTCACCAAAGGAAGCAGTTCTATTTTGGTTCTTACTTCCTGTGAGAAATGCAGGCATGATGTCTGCTGGTGTGTGGCCATCATGCTATTTCTAACTAGCATGTCCATGGTATTACTGGTGTTTTGCAACAAGAGGAGCAATGTCTCTTAACATTTCTTAAGCCATTTTTAAGGCTATCTTAGCCATGTGATTACCTGCAAAGAATGTAAAAGTCCTCAGAAACAATAAAGGAATGCATATGGTTGTGGTGAATAGATCACAATAAGGGATTTCTAGTCCCTTCTCCAAAAACTACTCAAGTCATTCCACAAACCATGGCAAGTCTTATTTTATTCCTCTATGTATCCTAGAATATTTACATTTTCAGATTTGCTAGCACAGATTTATAAAAGAGATCACCTTAAAAATCATGTTTCCTATAAAATGACAAGAGTGAATTATATAAAAGTTGTTTTCTCTACTTTTTCAAGACCTAAGTATTCTTATTGCCAATCCAAATTTAAATTTAATCCAACCCCTATGCTGCTTAAATTTTCTATATTAGGAAAAGTTTCCTCATCTTGAATCATACTTCTCTGTCTTTCTAAGTTTGACATATGGTGGGTTTCTTGCAAGATAGGAGATTTTGAGGGGATTTGGATAAAGAAAAGAGACGTATGTACTGGATGGGATTTTGTTTCTGGAGATGATGGAGAAAATTTATTGTAGGCACAATAGCATGTCCAAAGCAGTGTTTTGTTCCAGGGATGGAGTATCACCTGTGGATATGATACATCTTATATTAGCAGTAGGTGATTCTTTCTGTTGTTGTTGTTTTAATTTTAGGTTCTTAGAATGTCCTGACTTTTTTCAAAGTCTGTTCTTTGGATAGTAACTTTGATTATATTAACAGCATTATAGATTTATCTAATTTCTAATGTGATAGATTATGGTTGTTTTTTTTTCTCTTTTAGATCCATTTTTCCTGTCCACCCGTCCTTCAGAATCATTGCCTTGGCAGAGCCCCCTGTTATTGGAAGCACAACACAGCAGTGGCTGGGGCCAGAATTCTTAACCATGTTCTTTTTCCATTACATGAAACCACTTGTCAAAAATGAAGAAATCCAAGTGATTAAGGAAATGGTAAGGGTGAGGCCAGCTCTAGCCTGTTGCCTTCAGTTTTTCTCTTTTTAAGACACTCTTACCCCTGCTGGAGCAGAACTGGACATTTTTGGCTTCTCCCTACTTACTCCCAAATGTCCTTATGAAATGGTTCTCAAATGTTAACATTTTGCAGAATCATCTGGAGGATTTGGTAAAATGCACATGGCTGAGTCAGTAGTACTGGGATATGGTACATGATAATTTGCATTTCTGAAGTTCTTAGGTAATGCTGATATTGCCACTGGTCTTGGGAACACTCTTTGAGAACCATGAATGTATTGCTGTCACTCCTCTTTCCTTGTGTGGAGGCAGTTTGGTGGTTCCTTTTCCTTTTATATTCAGTCAAAAGTGACTATTTTAAGTTCCTACTCTAAAGGGAGGTTAAGTATATTTTAGTTCCTTAGGTTCTGTGGCAAATACCAAGGAGTCCTGGGCTCCCCAGGACTATAATATATCCTGTCCTATACTTACCTGGTTAGGTGTCTGGTGGCTTGAAGTATAGGTAATCCATTACTTCAGTGTCTGCCTGAAGCAGGCATTGTGCTTAGCATTTTCTAGAACTATACTATTCAGTGCAATAGCACTGGCCATAAAATTTAAAAAACTAGTGTCTAAGTCATATTTCAAGTGGTCAGTAACTACATGCATTTTGGCTAACATATTAGAAAGCATAGGTAAAGAACATTTCCGTCATCATAGAAAGTTCTATTCGATGGTGTTGTTCTAGATCACAAATAAGTAACTTTTTTTTTTTTTTTCCCTAAAAAGTTAACACTCATACCCCTTAAAATACTAGAATGAACTTTTTAGGTCTTGTCACATGGTGGTGGATAAGGGTGTAGGGTTTTAAAGATAAACAACTCTCCTTTAAATGCCGAATTTACTACTTATTAACTTCCAGATCTTGGGCAGATTATTCAACCATGATTTCTTTATTTGAAGATGGGGATAATAGTACTTCTTATATCAGTGGATTGATTTAAATAATAAATAAGATAAAGTATGTACTGAATAGAACTTAGAATTTTGAAAAGTTTCAATCACTTAAATGATCAAAGTTTACTTTTGAAATGGCCATGTTTTACCAGTTGTTCTAACATCACATCACTTTCTGATTTTTTAAATTAAAAGTTTAAATTTATTATTAAGCAAAATTTTCTTACAATTAATTATATATTTAATTAGATTAAAATGTTATAGTTAAGACACTTAATGTGTGTCATTTGGGCAACTATTTGGAGTTCATTGATAAATTAATCCTGTGCCTTGGATATGCAGTTTAAAAGTTCTGAAAAATTGACAGCTTGAGTATCCATTCTTTATACAAGGATACCTTATGTGACTTAGTAGACATAATGTAAGATTACTACTAAATGAAGGAGTTTGGTTTCAGTAAGAAAACGCCTAAATTAGTTTTAAAAATCATGCTGAAGCTAACAAAAAAGGAAATGATAATATATGAAAGTTTTTATAGGCATACTATATGCCAATTTTATGCTGGTGATAGAATTGTAAATGGAGAAGAGTGGCTTGGTTTTAATGACCTGATTCTTAAAGGGAAACGGGTGGGTATAAGCATTTCCTGAGAAGATGAATAAGTAAATTTATCCATGAATTAAACATGTAAACTGTAATCAGAGTTTTTCTAATAGTGTAATTCTAATATAAGTTACTAAGTAGCCATAATTTATGATTATCAGATATGCCAAATCATTCTTTCTGTCTTTCCTCAATTCTCTCATAAATAGGTACCAAATATTCCTCAGGAAGCTTTGGACAAATTGTTATCATTTACACACAAACTCAGAGAGACACAGGATCCAACGGTAAGTCTGGATTTTCTATTGCTGATAGGCTGCTGCTTTTTGTTCTTAGAGTTCAGTGCTTTAAAATCTGTTTTTTAAGCTGGCATTTTTATTCCTGTGTTATGTTTTGTCCTATGCATATGTCGCACTCTTTCAATGATTTTAACATTCTTCTAGCTCCTCATGGCTGATATTATAGAAAACAACTTTGGCTCTAGAGGCGTACTCGGTACTCCTGGGGTTTGGCCCTGTTTCTTCTACCTCCTATGCTGAGCAATTTCATCGTTTCTTATGGCTTCAAGTACCATCTCTAAGATAATGCCTACATCTTTTTCTTCACCTTCTAACTTTTCTTTTCTGATTTGTTCTTTATGTATAACTAGAGGCCCATGCACGAACTTGTGCATGGGTGGGGTCTGGCTGGCCTGCCCTGGTGGGGGTCAATCAGGGCCAGGCCGGTGGGGGAGGGGATGTGTGAGGTTGGCTAGCTGGCCCTGCACTCAATTGGGGTGAGGGGGGCCGATCGGGGGTGGGGCCAGCCAGGGGGAGGGGCCATGGGAGGTTGGCTGGCAGGCCCCGCCCCTGATCAGGGTGGGGGGCCAATCAGGGGCCAGGTTAGCCAGGGGGCGGAGCTGCAGGAGATTGGGGGCCGATTGGGGCCCTGATCAGGCCGATTGGCCTCCACAGTGCACATCATAGCGACCAGTCGTTCTGTTCATTTTGTTATTCTGGTCGCTTGGCTTTTATATATATAGATTGTATTTCCATGCTGGGATAGTATTTTGGAAAGATCTAGGGCTGTCACTAATTCTGAGTCTCAGTGTTCTCATCTGCAAAATAGGAATAGTGGCTGTACCTCATAAGGATGTTGTGGTGATGGGATATAGAACTAAATGATCTTTCCCCTTTATATCAACATATTCCTTATATAATTTCCTGACTTTGTTAATAACCTGGATACCAAATTACCTAAATTAGAAACTTTGACATCATTGTTTATTCCTTGCTTTCCCACTATTTCTACTTACCCTGAAAGAATATCTCATCAATTTAACATCTTGCTGTGTAAACTGTGCTCTTATCTATTGTCAGTAACTATCCTAGTATTGGATTTCATAATGTTTCTCCTAGAATATTGTTATTTCCTCTTGTCTGCCCTCTTCACCAATATCCATTCCTCTTGTGGCCCTCTATTACTTTTCCTGTACCTGTTATAACAAACTAGAGGCCTGGTGCACAAATTTGTGCATGGGTGGGGCCTGGCTGGCCCCGCCCCCGATTGGGTTTGGGAGGGTGATTGGGGGTGGGGCCGGCTGGGGTGGGGGGAGGCCAACGGTGGTTGGCCGGCTGGCCGCACCCCCTGGTTGAACTCCTGGTCAAACTCCTGGTCGAGGGGACAATTTGCATATTAGCCTTTTATTATATAGGATTACTATAAATTGGTGGTTTATGACAAAAGTTTATTTTCTCACAGCTCTGGACACCAGAATTTTGAAATGGGTATCACTGAGCTGAAATCAGGTATCAGCAGGGTCACATCCCCTTGGAAGCTCAAAGGATTACTACATTCCTTTCATCTTTCAGTTTCTGGTGGCTGCTGGGATTCCTTGACTTGTCATTTCAGTCTCTGCCTCTATCTTCAGATCACCTTTTCGGCTGTGTGTCTGTGTGAAATCTTTTTTTTTTTAAATATATTTTATTGATTTTTTACAGAGAGGAAGGGAGAGGGATAGAGAGTTAGAAACGTTGATGAGAGCGAGACATCAATCAGCTGCCTCCTCCACACTCCCTACTGGGGATGTGCCCGCAACCAAGGTACGTACCCTTGACTGGAGTCGAACTTGAGACCCTTGAGTCTGCAGGCCGACGCTCTATCCACTGAGCCAAACCGGTTAGGGCTGTGTCAAATCTTTTTCTGCCTCTATTTCATAAGGATACATAAGATTGCATTTAGTGGCCATCCAGATAATTCAGGATAATCTCCACATCTCAGAAATCTTTAATGTTATCTGCAGTGTCAGCTTTGCCATAAAAGGTAAAATTTGCAAGTTGTTTGTGGGGACCATTTCCTAACTGGCACAGGAGACCTCATCTCCAACTACTCATTCTTTTCAGCTACACCATTCTCCTTGCTGTTTCTTGAACACACTTGTGCCTGCCTCAGGGCCCTTGCCACTTGGTGTTTCCTCTGCCACAATTGCTGCACGAAGGTAGCTATAGGTTTGCTCCTTCACCCCTTTTGTATTTACTCAGATGTCTCCTTTTTAGTGAGGACTTCCTGAAGCACTCTATTTAGAATCACATATCTTCCACATTTTATTTCTTTCTCTTTGTTTTAAGGTTCTTCATAGGGCTTATTACCCTTTGTCAAAAATATATATTTTGTTCCTTTTTTTTTACATCCTCACCTGAGGCCATGCTGTGAGGGGGGGGGGGGGAGAAAGAAGAATAAGAAGAGGAGGAGGAAGAGGAGAAGGAGGAGGAAGAGGAGAGGAGAAGGAGAGAGGGAGAGAGATGAAAGAGAGAGAGAGGAAAAAGAAATATCGATTGGCTGCCTTCCATATGTGTCCTGACGGGGATTGAACCGGCAACCCCTCGGTGCACAGGACGACACTCAACCAACTGAGCCACTCTAGCTAGCCTGTTTTACTCATTTTTTATTGTCCATTTTCCCTCAGATTTTAGTTCTTGGATGGCGAGGTTTTATTGTTGTAGTTGCTTCTGTATCTGGAACTTTACCTACCACATAGTAGATGTTCAACAAATATCTGCTAAATGAATGAATGAATGGATGAATTTTCCATATTGTCCCAGGAGTGATCTTTCCCAAATCCATTTCCTAAGTTCTCCCCTTCTTTAAAACTGTTAAGAGATGGATTCTCTTTGTCTGTAGACTGAAGCACAACCTTCTAAGCATACCTGCTAAGTTCCATCTCACCCTGGCTGCTTTTCCTGCCTCATTTCTTATAGTCTCTCTTGAAGCACCCTCAGTTCTACCACAGTTTGCTTCTTGCTGTCTTTTAGGCTCATTGTTTAACCCAGCGGTTGCCAACCAGTGGTCCGCAGACCACTGGTGATCCATGAGGTCTGAAAGGTTGGCGACTGCTCGTTAAAGGAAACCTTTGGAGCAGCGGGCGACCCACATGCCTCTGCCTTAGATGATGCCTGGAATGCGTTTTCCTTCTGTCCACTTGCACTCAGGTTGCCTTTTCTATCAGGTGTCTTTCAGTCCCCTTAGGCAGAAGTAACCTCTATATCCAGTCTGCTTTATGACATTTGGCATAGATTTCTCATATTGACCTATTGCAACTGCAGCACAGTGTATTTTTATCTCTCCAATTAGAATATGAACTCCTTGAGGCCACTTCTTATTCATTCCTTTATTTCCATTTCCTAATCTGGTACCTAGCCTATAGTAGGCCCTTAGATGTTTGATGAAGGAATGAATAAATTAATTAATAGATTGTCTTTAGAGTTTTGTCTCCCTGAGAACATGTTATATTTTTGTAAAAGAAATGTCTTTAAGAGGTGTAAGAGAAAAATTATTTTTAATAATTTTGATCAGAATTTTTATATCTTTAAGCTGAAGTACTATTTTTAAGTATGCTAACATGAAAAATCCTTAAGGTGTACTCTTAAACTGCATAACCATGGTAACTAAGGGAATGTGCTAACACCCTCACTTGCTCGTTTGGAAATTTGATATTATAAATGTTAAATATATTAGGGATTTTTCAACTAAAGTACACTCTCATTTTTTAATGACTAATGTGAGAGCAGAGATAACCAAACCTTTTATTTAACACTAAAGTGGCTGATTGTAAAGCTTCATTCTGATTTTTTAACACTGGATGCTATTGTGAAGCATTTTTATATTAACTGAAGTAGTTGATATTGTTAGGGTTTTTTGGCCAGTGATGCAGGCTGTGAAAGAATTCACAACTAAAAGAAGAGATGGATGGAGAGAGAAAGTTTATTTTACTTTCCCCAAAGGGAGAGGTCTGGTGCATTGCTAATCAATACAAGGGCAAAGAACAAAAGCTGCATTCTCCCTTTTAAAGCCTTGGCTGCTGTTGCTAGGTGACAAGGAAGGGAGAGGGATTTGGGGGCTGAAATTGAGCAGACATCAGAGGGGTTGTAGTTTGTTTGTTCGTCTGGAGACAATACAGGCAGATGTCCTAGGGAGGCATCTTATCAGTATTTTTCCAAAGTCTGTAAAACATTCTTAGAGCAAAAGTTAAGAAGAGTTCAAAAGTTTGAAGAGGTTGGAGGTAGGGGACTTTCTATTAGAGACTTCTTGGGGAAATTATCCCTGAATTGTGAAAATAGCAGGGAGGAGAAGTATGTAAGAGTGTATGTAGCCTTGAGAGTAGCTTATCTTGTCTTGTAGTTTGAACAGGGAGCTGTTTGAATCAGAGGAGCTAACAATCTTGGGATTAAATTAACAGGTGCTTCTCATAAATTGTGGCAGGCTACAGCAAAGAAAAAGAAAAGCCCTTTTCCTATCCTAATGGGAATTTTTGAAATTCATGCGAAATCATTACTGAATGAAATATGAGGCCTGAACTGTGTCATGCTTGGGATGAGATTAGAATGCTATACCTTACGAAGTTGCGTTATGGTTTAATAGGATTCTTGTCATGGGAATCTCTGGTTAGAGTCGTTTGTCAAACATTTTCCATGATTAAGGTAGGAATTTTTCATGGTCCCAGGTATAAAGGATGGGAATTGCTGGTCATGTTTAACTTCTGATACTTTCAGCCATACCAGCTGAAATAATCTTCCCCGCAATTCTTTTTTCTTTCTCATATCCATCAGTTGCCAAGTCCTTTGAAGCAAGTGTTGATCCCTTCCCTCCGTTCTTTTTGCCAATAACCTTACTGTAAGACTTTATCTTTTGGTAGGTAGATTACTGTCCTTCAACTGCTGCCAAATTAATCTTTCTAAAGTCATGTTACTGTGTTGCACATAAGAAAGTTCTACTGCCTTTAGGAGCCAGGCCAAATACCTCAAAGTGTCAGTCTTTGATATTTGGGAGCAAGACTTCCAGCAGGACCCTCTAATAAAGCTGGGCTGGCTTCCTCATGTTCTGTATGTATTTCTGTTCCTTTTGCATTCATGCCTTTGTTCATAGTATTTCTTTTTTTCCATTTGAGCATTATAACCCCCTATGCAGTTGTCAAGTGCTCCACTTATTTTGGCAGTAAATTATATGCTATTTTGAGTTGCAACATTTTCCTTCTTATATTTAAATATTGTCTCCATGTTTAGAATGCAAATTTGTTGGAAATAAAGATGAACCAATGTTTGCTTATAAATGAGTTATTTGAAACTTAGAATGTGTTTTTAATAGATAAAAAGGATATTTCATAAGTGGTGGTCATGCTTTCAAACTAGTTCCTGAAGGGTCATTTAACCCCTGTCATAACTGAAGTGTAATATTAATAATAGCAGATCAGAGTTTCATAGAACTATGAAATACATGAGGAAGGAGAAATCAATTCATTCTTTCTACCTTAGGACATACAGAAATGACCTTAAAAGAAATGTTGAAATAAGCAAAAAATAGTATGCCTTTTGCATCCTCCCAACATCCATTTTGAACCCTTTGTTAATGTCATAGAGTCCCCTTCTCTGCTCCCTTAGGTGCTTAGGGCCACTATACTGCTCTTATCACTCGCTGTGACATTTCAAAGAGCTAGTTGCTTCAAAAGTTATTTACTCTGGTTTTCATTGAAAAACCTTATCTCCTAATGTTAGTGATCTACGTTAGGAATTAGGCCAGTAATAATCTGATTTATTAAATTCATTCTATTATACAGGCCACATCTTCGTTCTCTGTTAAGCTTTTTTTTTTTTCATTTTGAAGAGGCTGACTTTTTTTTTTTAATATATTTTATTGATTTTTTACAGAGTGGAAGGGAGAGGGATAGAGAGTCAGAAACATTGATGAGAGAGAAACATCGATTGGCTGTCTCCTGCACGTCCCCCACTGGGGATGTGCCCGCAACCAAGGTACATGCCCTTGACTGGAATCGAACCTGGGACCCTTCAGTCCGCAGGCCGACGCTCTATCCACTGAGCCAAACGGTTAGGGCATTGAAGAGGCTGACTTTTAATAATTACTGGTATTTGTTACATATTCATATGTGTTGGACCTGTACTAAGTGCTTTAGAATAATTTTCTAATTGAATCCTCATAACAACCTTAAAGATGAAGGCATTATTATTGTCATTTTAAAGATGAGAAACTGAGGCCCAAAGAGATTAAGAAGTTTCTCAAGGTCACATAGCTAATAAATGGGAGCCTGATATGTCTGATTTCAGAGCTTATAAACTTTGCCATTACATTATGCTTTCTGCCAAGATCATTTTAAATTCAAGTTAGCAAGTATTTATTGGTATTTACATTTCCTAAGTTCTGTACTAGCAACTCTGCTATTGGGATTTGGGGAAGTATAAGAAAACAAGTAAATTATTCTGGCAGTATGGGGGAAGGATTCTGAACAGCAAGCTACTACCCAAGTGACTTGTTGACATCTCTGTGGGTCCGCAGCCTAATTGCCCATTAATCTTTTTCAGTATTTCAAAAGCCATAGTTTACTTAAAGCTCCAAGCATTTTCAGGATATATTAACAGTTCAGCTTTGTATAAACAGAAAAAAATTAAAAAACAGTTTATTGTACATAAGGGCTATTTTTAAGTCGAGAGTGACCTGTATTATGTTATATCCTTCCTTCATTTAACCTCCACCTCCCCCCAAAAACATGTATACACAGCTTTTAGTACAGTGAAAACACTTTAATTGATAAACATTTTTATAGATTAAAAAGACTATCTTCAAGAATGTTTTAAATGTTAATTGGTTTCTATTTATTTTTATTTGTAATTCAGTAACAGTGCATATTTATTTAAGTTTGGCCTTGTCCTTCAGGAATAATGAATTCTGCTATGATAACCATCTAAAGGGACTTGCAGCAAGTTGAAACAAGACTCTTAACAGGCTGTCTTTGCCTTTTAATAGGCACAGTCATTGGCAGCATCACTTTCTACCAGACAGCTGTTGCGAATTTCTCGTCGGCTGTCACAGTACCCTAATGAAAATCTTCACAGTGCTGTCACTAAAGCCTGCCTTTCCAGGTAACCATATTCTCCTGTCTTACTGAATTCAGGTTTCTGCATCTTTGCTAAAATAGTAACATAAGTTTAATTAATAGTCTGTAAAAGTATTGTTCTGAATATGTAGCTGTTTCAGCCTTATGTTCAACTTTCAGAACATATCTTATGTAGGTATAACAACAATTTTAAGAGGTACTTTATAGATAAGAAAACTTCTTAAGTCACATGAGGGAAGGCGGGGTCACATAGTGGTAAATAAGTAAAAGTATGTTTGAGAATTGAACACCAGGATCATGTGTTTTCTGAGTTAGTGTTCTTAATTATTATACTTAACTAGAGGCTTGGTGCACAAAATTCGTGCATGGGGTTTGGGGGTTCTCTCAGCCCAACCTGCACCCTCTCCAATCCGGGACCCCTTGGAGGATGTCTGACTGCCAGTTTAGGCCCGATCTCCTTGTGTTGTGACTTGAATTTGTTCTCTCGTAGTGTAGCCATCCATAATGAGGCTCCTCTCCAGTGTCTTTATAGTAATTCTTTGAATAACTAGTAATTATGAGAAATAATAAATTCCCTTTAAATTAAAAGAACATTAGCAGGAAGAGACTGGACAAAAATCATAGACCTATGGATGAGGACAGTGGGAGGGGTAAGGGCCGAGGGTGGGGTGGGAACTGGGTGGAGGAGAGCTATGGGGGAAAAAAAAGAGGAACAACTGTAATAATCTGAACAATAAAGATTTAATTAAAAAAAAAAAAGAACATTAGACTTCCAAAGGAAAATTAGGAAAAATGCTTTAAGAGCTTCTTTTTCAGGGTTATAAAATGAAGAAAATATAGACAGAGAAATAGGTAGATTCATTATGTACCCAGTATTTTTTTAGTCAGACTTTGTTAATAGAAATAAATAGTCAATGCTAAGCAATGTAAACCACTTTTGGAGCCTAATACTTTGGATATATTAGAATGAAATAATCACATTTTATGGGTCTTGATATACACCCTGGTAGTTAAATCAACTTTCAATCTCCTTTATTAAAAAAGCAAATAAAAATAAATCAAGTAATGTTAATTGATCAAATATGCACATATAAATTTTAGGTAACCACAAAAAGAATGGAAATGGATCCAGTAGAGGTGGAAATAAGCAAATAGAGAAAACTTGACTCTGTAACCTTCCAAAAGTAAATAGGTGATGCATACACAAAATAGTTATTTGACTTATTTGCAAAGGGTCATGGAATGGTAACAAAATAGAGTTTTATTGTGGTTAGTTAATAACACTGGAAAAATGAGCTATTTAATTCAGTGAAATATTTATGAGTATGGAAAGTAAGCATTTTTTAGTTTTTCAAGTTTTTAAGTATGAAATATTTCAAACATACAGAAAAGATGCTCAACTTCATTATTGACAAAATAAATGAAATTAAGATGATAGCTATCATTTTATACTTTTTTACCTGTAAAAATTAATTTTTTCATGAGTGGAAGGAAGTAAACTTTTTTTTGTTGTTTATTTTTTCTTTATTGTTTAAGATATTACATATGTGTCCTTATCCCCCTATTCCCCCCCACCCACCTCCACTCGTGCCCTCACCCTCCTCGTGCCTATGTCCTTTGGTTATGCTTATATGCATGCATACAAGTCCTTTGGTTCTTTGGTTGATCTCTCTCCCTTCCCGCCATCCTCCCCTGCCTTCCCTCTGAGGTTTGACTGTCTGATGAATGATTCTCTGTCTCTGGATCTGTTTTTGTTCATCAGTTTATGTTGTTCATTATATTCCACAAATGAGTGAGATCATGTGATATTTGTCTTTCTCTGACTGGCTTATTTCACTTAGCATAATGCTCTTCAGATCCATCCATGCTGTTGCAAATGGTAGGAGTTCCTTCCTTTTTACAACAGCGCAGTATTCCATCGTGTAGATGTACCACAGTTTTTTAATCCACTCAAGCTATATTACAAAGCCATTCTTCTCAAAACTGCCTGGTACTGGCACAAGAACAGACATATAGACCAATGGAATAGAGAACCCAGAAATCGACCCAAACCACTATGCTCAATTAATATTTGACAAAGGGGACAAGAGCATACAATGGAATCAAGACAGTCTCTTCAATAAATGTTGTTGGGAAAATTGGACAGATACATGCAAAAAAATGAAACTAGACCATCAACTTATACCATACACAAAAATAAACACAAAAGGATAAAGGACTTAAGCATAAGATAGGAAACCATAAAAATCCTAGAGGAATCCACAGGCAGCAAAATCTCAGACATATGCCGAAGCAATATCTTCACCAATACAGCTCCTAGGGCATTGGAAACTAAAGAGAAAATAAACATATGGGACTACATCAAAATAAAAAGCTTCAGCACAGCAAAAGAAACCATCGACAAAACAACTAGGAAGCCCACTGCATGGGAGAACATATTTGGCAATGTTATCTCCGATACGGGTTTAATCTCCAACATTTACAGGGAGCTCATACAACTTAACAAAAGGAATGTAAACAACCCAATCAAAAAATGGGCAATGGACCTAAATAGATACTTTTCAAAAGAAGACATACAGAAGGCCAAGAGACACATGAAAACATGCTCAAAATCACTAATCATCCGTGACATACAAATCAAAACGACAATGAGGTACCACCTCACACCTGTCAGAATGGCTATCATCAACCTATCAACAAATGACAAGTGCTGGCAAGGATGTGGAGAAAAAGGAACCCTCATGCACTGCTGGTGGGAATGCAGACTGGTGCAGCCACTGTGGAAAATACTGTTTTGGAGTTTCCTCAAAAAATTAAAAATTTAACTCCCATTTGACCCAGGGATCCCACTACTAGGAATATATCCCAAGAAACTAGAAACACCAATCAGAAAGGATATATGCACCCCTGTATTCATAGCAGCACAATTTACCATTGCTAAGATTTGGAAACCACCTAAGTGCCCATCAGCAGGAAGTAAACTTTTATTACTGCCCTCGTTTCATAACTTTGGGGTTGATCATACAGTATCTTTATGCCAAAATATATTAATACCATATCATGTGACAATTCTACTTTTTGATATTACCTCATAGATAGACTTATATGTATCTATAAGGAGGCATGTAGAAGAGAGAGAAACATTTATCAGTTGGCTCGCAAACACGACCCAAGCAGGGATCAAACCCGCAACCTTGATATGAGCCGACTAGGAATTGAACCCGCTACCTTTTAGTATATGGGACAACACTCCAACCAACTGTACTACCCAGCCAGGGCACCTTAAGTTATCTTAAATATTTCAGTACTGTTTATATATTTAACATTTAAAATCACAGTTGTAAATTAATTAACGTGTAAGTAATTAATGTGTAAAAAGGCTGCTGGACATCCACTGAGCCCCAGTCTTTTTCTCTCACTCTTACTACTAATACTTCTCCCCTCAGGGCTAGTAATTTGGAAGTATCCCCTATCCTTGTTCTAGCTTCTCATGCTACCATCCTGAGAAATCCTTTTATTCTTTAATCTGAAGGTCCTATTCCATACCTGTGACAAAGACACAGTTATTTGAGTTAGCTTAGGGCAACTGCTTCTGTTTCTGGGTTTCTCAGAATATGTTGAATCTTTCTTTTGTTTTTCTTATAATCAAGACCTACCAAAACTAGAAACTTTCCAATTCTTTTTTTGCTGGGAGTAAATAATAATAATAGTAATGTTTATTTTTAAAAGACACTATAATGCTCGTATGACTGATAAATGCAGAGTGTTATTTGGACAAAAATACATATAGAATAGATAAGCAGGTACATATTTTAAATGGAAGGAAGAATCAAGTTGGATAATATTAAACTTACTCAATAATATGTGTTAGAAAGTAAAAGAAACCTCATTAATCCACTTTCACTAATTTGAATTTGTGGTTGCCAACTTGGAGCAGGTTAAAGTACATTATTGCATTATTGTTTTATCTATTTAAGAAAATTTGATAAGCCAGTTAAATGATAAACAAGATTTATGAAGTATACTAAATCCATTTTCAAAAGCAAATTATCTATCTTGTCCTGCAAAATGTTGTATATAAATGAAGAATACTAATTACAAATGAGTTTTACTTATTAAAAGGAGATTCAATAAACATATACTTTATTGTCACATGTACATGTAATTTATTTACTATTTGTATTTCACACTTCCAGATTGAACTTCCTTAATTGGTTGTAATTACCGTGTGTGTGTGTGTATGTGTGTGTGTGTGTGTGTGTGTGTGTACACATGTCAAAAGATATTTAGGGATCACAGAAAGCTTTGACTTTGTCACTAATCGCCCCCCTCCTCCCACCCCACCCCACAGGTTTTTACCAAGCCTTGCAAGGTCAGCATTAGAAAAAAATCTGGCAGATGCTTCAATAGAAATAAGTACTGATGATAATCTAGAACCAGAACTGGAGGATTACAAATGTAAGTATTTGGTTTCTTTCCCTTTTAAGTGAAATAACTATCGAATGTTTTCTGTTATCAACTTTAAATTAAAAAATGACTGTTTTTCATTTATTTTATTTTATTTAGGGTTGAAAAAAATGAATCTTTAAAAAAATTTTTTTTAAAATTTAATTTGAAACCCACTTAAAAGAGTACTTCCTTTATTTCCATACCAGAGACAGGTCCTCCCCCCATGCCCACTCCCACTCCTCCAAGAGTTACTGTTGAGGTGAACATGTTAAAGTCTCTCAGAATTTCTGCTGTAAATAAACTTAGTGGTTTTATTTAACCTTTTATCCAACTATATTCCACCTTAGCATCTAAAATTCTGTTTTCCTTGCACAACATTTACATTTTGAGGACCAGATGTGTCTAATGGGAAGTGATTCTAGGTTGAGATAGACTAAAATAATATTCAGAGTACTATTCCATACGTTCCTAATATTCCATGTCCACATATTGTCTTTTTTGGTACTTTTTTCCTGAAGAGCCATATGTATAATTTTGAATTGGGGGGAGATTTAACTCTTCCTATGAAAGATCCTCATTCTTCAATTAGAGCACAATGAAAGGTTCTATGATTTTTGAGGTATTAATGACCTGTTTTATCAAAACATGCAATGTGTGCCCATTCTCCAAAGGGAACTATTGGTGTTTTCTTTGAAGTCGTTGTTTTTTAATTGTTGGGGATACACTGAATTTGATATTAAGAAAATAAGATGACTTTTTCAAAAGTAAAATGATAAGCTCTGCATACTGATGGATCTGAGTATAGGTACACAGAGCCAGTTCAGAGACAGGATAATTTTTATACTTTTTAGACTGTAATGTTATTTGATTGAGTTTTTTGACATATACAAAGAAAGACTGCATCATTCAGACTATAGATTGTTTAGTTTTGGTAACAGGGCAGTGTTAGCTGTCCCATCTAAGCTTTGTGTAGAGGATAAGGGACCTAAGTCAAGAGGCTTTTGATTGCTCTGATTCCATTCATCTTTAATGTTCTCTCTTTTGGAAAATTCATTTAATTCACTTTACTTTTTTTAAAACATAATTTTAGTGATTTGAGTAAGGAAGGAAGAGAGAGAAAGAGATAGAAAACATCAATGATGAGAGAGAATCATGGATCGGCTGCCTCCTGCACGTCCCCTACTGGGGATTCAGCCTGCAACCCTCGCATGTGCCCTGACCGGGAATCAAACCTTGATCTCCTGGTGCATAGGTCAATGGTCAAACACTAAGCCACGCCAGCTAGGCTAATTCATTTCTTTGTTTAGGGACCATGCTCACCAAGCAACATTCTGATACGAATTTAGCTTTTTTAATGCAGGTCTTCCTCTAGATCAGCGGTTCTCAACCTGTGGGTGGCGACCCCTTTGGGGGTCAAATGACCCTTTCACAGGGGTCGCCTAAGACCATCAGAAAACACATATATAATTACATATTGTTTTTGTGATTAATCACTATGCTTTAATTATGTTCAATTTGTAAAAATGAAAATACATCCTGCAGATCAGATATTTACATTATGATTCATAACAGTAGCAAAATTACAGTTATGAAGTAGCAACGAAAATAATTTTATGGTTGGGGGTCACCACAACATGAGGAACTGTATTAAAGGGTCACGGCATTAGGAAGGTTGAGAACCATTGCTCTAGATAATATGCTGATAGGATAACCAGTATGTCATATAGTCCATATGAAAGTTGCAGTTTTCATTGCAATGTAATACTTTGCAATTCTGGCTTTATATATAAAAATTGCATATAGATCAGAATTTATGTCTTTAATAATTTCCTGAAAGTTAGATTTGTCCTCTGTTGTGAGGACAAAATCAGGTTTTGAGCCTACCAGTCTGAGGACTTAACAGATTTATAATAATAATGCCTCCTCTGAGATTTCTTAGATCGTTAGCCAGATTTCTCCCAGGGAACTATAATATCACCATGCTCTTTTTTATCTTGAAATTTTAACAATAAATATGGGTTCGTTGAATTAAATTGTACTAATGCCCTAAATCAGTGGTCGGCAAACTGTGGCTTGCGAGCCACATGCGGCTCTTTGGCCCCTTGAGTGTGGCTCTTCCACAAAATACCGACTTCTGCGCATGGACCACGAAGTTTCCATCGTACTGTACATGTGCGCCCGCATGTGGTATTTTGTGGAAGAGCCACACTCAAGGGGCCAAAGAGCCGCATGTGGCTCGCCAGCTGCAGTTCGCCAACCACTTCCCTAAATGTACTAAGTAAATATATCGATAAACTAAACCATAGATGATATCTGATTATTGTTTGAATCTGAAATTATGTGTGTCATCTCAACATACAAGTATATAGTAAATTCACTTCCACAGTCCTGGTCTTTCCTTTTACAGTTTTATATTTGGTCTATTTCAGAGACCTGATGGTAGTAAAATAAAATAAATCCTTAGCGACAGCTTATAGTTCTTTTCTCTATGGAACTTGTAGACAAAAGGCAATGGTGAGGATCTACTGAAAAATGAGGTCTACTGTGCTGTGTGGCAAGTGTGTAGCACCCAGCAGTGATTAAGCAGGGTGACAGTTTAATTATTTTTAGCTTAAAATTGTTCACGGTGCTACACAGACGCAAATGTTGCTTTTTCACCTTGTCTTTTAAAATGCTTTAGCACACAAATAGAAACTTTCTTATTAAAAGTAGGGAGGGAAAAGATGGGTCAGTTATTTTAGGATTATAATTGTCTACCTGCTTGCTAGGGTATTTCCATAGGATGGAATATTATTTGGAGTCAAAGATTGAACTACCCCACATGGCAGAAAGAACATTAGTTCTATTTTTAGCTGTATCCATTCTAACTTATTTTTTTTTTTACCTTCTTCATAATTCTTGTCTCATTATTAGGAAAATAAAATGAAATTATATGAGAAAACAATAAGCTGAAGCTCCTAGTTTGGGATCTGGCACGTAGATGGTTCTGAGTGAATGATAGCTTCTATTATTGTAATCATCAGAATTACTGCAACTATTACTATTAGTATTATTATTATTATGTTTTAACCTTTTTAAAAATCTACTTTTATTGATTTCAGAGAGGAGGGGAGAGAGAGATAGAAACATCAATGATGAGAGAGAATTATTGATTGGCTGCCTTCTGCACACCCCACACTGGGGATCCAGCTTGCAACCCAGGCATGTGCCCTGATCAGAATTGAACCGTGACCTCCTGGTTCATAGGTCAATGTTCAACCACTGAGCAACACCAGCCAGGCAGTTTATTATTATTGACCTTGGCATCTATTAGACAGTGAACATATATGCCTGGTTACTGTAGAGAATATACATGAAAGATGTTCCTTGACTTCAAGAAACTTAATATTTAGTTTCCTGGCTTCAAGGAGCTAGGATTCTATTCTAGACCAACTATAAGAGACATTGCAATAATAATTAATTATCACAAAATTGTGTAGCACCTGGGGTGCTTATTGGAAAATACATTTCTCCTGGATCATCTCTGAATATAGTAATTTGGGAGGCCTGGCATGGATTGGTTCATTTTTATCTTTGACTAGCTATCTAGGGGATTCTCATATGGGGTTTTGAATGAGTGGGTTCTGAAAAAATTATATTCAAGTACTTCAGAGCTTTTGAATGTGTATTTGGCTTATATATGTGTGATAGTCTTGGACTGAACAAGCTTATTACGGTTACTTGACTGAGATCTGAGTTTTGTTTTCTCTCAATTTTATCTATATGCTGTTTGCTACATACATTGTTTTAATTATATTTTACCAGAGGCTCAGGGGGGCCCTCAGCCTGAGAGGGCATAGGCCAGGACCCCTTGGGGGATGTCCCTAGGGGATCAAGCCTAAGCTGGCAGTCAGACATCCCTCTAGCAGCCCGGGAGCCCTCAGGGGGTATCCAACGGATGGCTCAGGCCCGCTCCCCATGGGCAGGCCTACACCATCCTTAGTGCTGCCTAGGAGGTGGGAGATGCTCCGCTACCACTGCTGTGCTCGCAGCCCTCAGCTGTGCTTGTGGCTGAGTGGCGCTCCCCCTGTGGGAGCACACTGACCACCAGGGGGAAGCTCCTGCGTTGAGTGTCTGCACTCTGGTGGTCAGTGTGCGTCATAGTGACCGGTCATTTCTGGTTGGTCCCCCGTTAGGGTCAATTTGCATATTACCCTTTTATTATATAGGATTATATTTTGGATCATTGAAAGCTTTTTGTAGAGCTTTAAGCTTTTTATGTAAAGCTAAAAACTCTCTAGCGAGTAAAACACCTTCAAGGTTTTTATTACCATACCACCTTAAAGCTTATTTCTTTTATATGTTAAATTAAAATTCCTTGACGAATCCACAGGATATTAAAGATGCTGCATTGCATTTTGTATGGGCTGAATTTGACTTCTGTGAGGACAATTCTGCAGGTAATTCTCTGTCCTGTGTGAAATTTTTAGGTGAAATAGCATCTGGCTCTCTGAGAATTGGCGCTATTAGTACACCAATCTATAATGCCCACGAGAAAATGAAAGTGCCTGATGTTCTGTTCTACGACAACATTCAGGTAAAATCCCTGCTTTGCATTCATGGATAAATCACCACTTACATTGTAGTAGTTCATTCTGATTCAAGTGAAACTGTTTAATTATTTTTATAATTTGCTAAATTCAATTCAGATGATGCAAAGTGAAGTGTTTAAACACCTTCCATTAATGCATTATGATGCTGGAAGAGCTGCTGCTATAAGTAGAGTATAATAAATTTTATATGCATACATATACTATACTTCAGGTTAATAAAATGAATAGATTATTAAATTAAAAACAAAGTAGAATATCCTCTCTTTTGCTTTCCTATTGGTTAAATAATTTTAGTTTAAAGAAGGATGTGTCCTATGCATTCTTTTTTTTTATCCTCAGCTGAAGATGTGCTTATTAATTTTTAGAGAGAGAGAGAGAGAAGAACATCAATGTGAGAGTGAAACATTGATCAGTTGCCTCCTGAATGGTCCCCAATCAGGGTTCAAACCCACAACCTAGGTATGTGCCGTGACCAGAATAGAACCTGCTACTTGTTGGTGTACACAACACTCTAACCAACTGAGCCACCTGGCTGGAGCTGTCCAGTGCATTCTTTCCTTCATATTCTTTTCCTTTTTTGGAAAAATTTTAGTATTTTTCCAGCCTTTACTTTTCCTTCTTTTTTTTTTTTTTTTTTTTTTTTTTTAAGGGAAGACAGTAGACAATTTCCACTTGCAAAACCTATAATTATGGTCCTTCTGTTAAGACAGAAATAAGTTTGTACACAGAATGCTTTATTGTAGATGTTTACTTTAATAAGATTTTTTTCCAGAGGAAATCACTCATAATTAAATAGTTTTTCCTTTCCAGATTTTCTGTCAATTGGTTATTTATTTTATAATAAAACACATACTAAAATTTTTTCTGTAATATTTGGTCACTAATCTGCATGTAAATAATAGCCTTACATTTACAACGTATGTTAGAAAAACTACCTACTGTTTTCACTATATTAAGGATTTAGAGATATTGAAGTAAAATTCCTTTTATCTGCCACTTTCCAACTCTATTTGTTGTTCAATTAGTGTTCTAATTTATATCCCTATGTTATATTAACAACATTGAAGTTATCTAGGCAAATACTTCTTTCTCAATAAGAATATTAATGAAATATTCTGAAATCTGTTAAAATTTTAGTTATCATTTATAGCATAGCAAAAGGCATAACCCAATTTGCTTTTTATTCATTATGTAGCCAGTTAACTAATATAGATTTTACTTTCTTCCAGAGCATTAATGTTCTTATATAAGCAGTAGTCAAATGAACAGAAAATAAAGTTACTTATAAGACACAAAGGCCGAAACCGGTTTGGCTCAGTGGATAGAGCGTCGGCTTGTGGACTGAAAGGTCCCAGGTTCGATTCCGGTCAAGGGCATGTACCTGGGTTGCGGGCACATCCCCAGTAGGAGATGTTCAGGAGGCAGCTGATCGATGTTACTCTCTCATCGATGTTTCTAACTCTCTATCTCTCTCCCTTCCTCTCTGTAAAAAATCAATAAAATATTTAAAAAAAAAAAAAGACACAAAGGAAGAAAAAATTTTTCCTGTCAATAAAGACAAAAACATAATTGTAAGGAAAATATACTATTTTGAAGTATTGATATCACACTCTGTCCTTGTAGTAGAAAAGAGTAAAGAAAAAAGAATTAGGAAACTTTGATATAAGTGAAAATTTGAAAAACTCCATGGTAGCAAACATTTAAAAGACTTGCCAGCTTACAAGAATGTAGGATTCAGTAGCAGCGAAGGCCATGTGTCTTTGAACATAGTGTCTGTTGCCATGGTGCTTATGACATAGACATTGAGGTCCACAGGGCTGCTGTGAACTTTACACAGTGGCCCTGAGGGACTTTCTGTAGCCTGGCTCCAAACATACCTTCTTTTCATAAAGCATTACGAATTAGCTCTTAATGAAAATGTTTAGCTGTACCAATTCTAGGGACAGTGTCTTGATTAAATTTGCTTTTGTTGCATTCATTACTGTTTCCTTTTATGCCACACTCCATCTTTGAAGCAGTAGTTTTCAGTGTTTCTTGAGTATTTAGGTGCTTCTTTCTCCTCTTGTTCTATGCCCTGTGGTCCTCTTACCACGTTATGTTGAAACTGATTTTTTAAATGTGTTTTTCAACATTTCCAGGAAACATTATAGTGCCTGGCATGAAGTGACTGCTGAATAAATATCTGTTGAGCTAATTAATGAAAGGATGAATAAGATTTTAAGTGTTCATAATCAGGAATATTATTTCATTAAATCTGTGACTAAGGAATATTACACTTGCAGCATTAAGGAAGAGAAATTACAGGAGAGTTTAATAGCCTTTTAATAAGCGTAATGAGCTTTAGATCTGAAAAAGTTAAACAATATCTCCCATATGTCAAGCCTTGTCAGAAGGTATTAGAATACTGAGATGAAAATACACACATGTACGCGCACGCACACACATACACATAGTTGTGTGCACACACATGTACACAGTTCCAGAGCTGGGTCTGTCAAGGGGGGAGAAAGACATATAAGTACACATAGTTACTCCACAGTAAGATGGAGGTGCACGCAGGTTACCATGGTAGCATTGAGGAGAGGCTGGTCCCAGATTGGAATGATCATGGAAAATGAGTTAACCAGGCAAAGTTGAGAGAGTCTCTCAGGCAGAGAGACTAGCATTTGTAGAAACATGACTATGTGAGAGAGTAACCAATTTAGGGAGCTACATATAATTAATTGTCATTGGCATAGAGCTGAGGTTGCAAATGGAAGAGTGATACGAGATGAGGCTGATGAGTTAGGAAAGAGTCACATCTTCTGGACCTTGCTAATTAAGGAATTTGGATGCTATTCAGAAGAAGTGAGGAAGCCACTGAAAGTTTTTAAGCACATTTCCTCTTTTGCTAGCTTTGCATTCACTCTTTAAAGTTGTCTGTAAGTTGGGACCAAGGCAGAGAGAGACCAGGAAGCTGTTGTAATAGTTCAGGTGAAAGTCATGAAGGATCTAAACAAGGCAGTGCCTGTGGGGACAGAGTAGAATGGATACATGGCAGGGCTGTTTAGGCGGTAGAGTCAGTGGAACTTTGTGTGAGATGAAAGACAAAGATTCTCCCCCCAGAAGCACATGGTCTGGTGGAAAAGTTAAAAAATAAATAAAGAGAAAGCTATTTTAAATTGTGCCCATGACTAGAAGAACACAGTGTAGGAGAAGGAGAGTGATAGGAGATGAGACTGAGACTAAATAAGTTAAGGAGTGACCTTTGATTCTAAGGTATTAGGAGTCTTTTAAGGAATTTTGAAGAGAGAAGTGACATGATTTTGAACAACAAAGTGACATTCAGTACAGGCATACTTCGGAGATATTGTGGGTTTGGTTCCAAACCACCGCAATAAAGGATATACCAATAAAGCAAGTCATAGTCCTTTTGCTGATGGAGAGTTTTACCTTCAATTTGTTAAAAAAAAAAAAAAAAAAAAAAAAAAAAAAAAAAAAAGAGCTATGCTTGTACTGTAGAGAGCGTGTTGGCTCAAGTAGAGACTTAAGTTAGAGAAGCCAAAATGGCTTATAAAAATCTAGGCCAGAGATCATAAAAACCTGAAGGAAAACTGTGGGAATAAAAAGGAAAGGATAGATATACTTGACGTTTTGGTGGCCCAGTAGCTTAGACTTGGTGTTTAATTGACTCTTGATAAGGGAGGAGCCAGGTGGTGGAAAATGATACTATTAATCAGGATAAAAGATACAGGATAAAGAATGACTTTGAGAAGAAAGTAATGAGCCAACTTTTGGATATATTGAGTTTGAGGAGACTGGGAAATAACCTAGTAGTTCAGTAGTTACTCAGAAGTACAGGGCTAGAGTTGAGGAAAAAAGTCTTGCTGTTGAAGATCAGTGTAGAGTTGGTAGTTGAAGCCATGGGATGGATGAGAAAGGAGTTAGGAGAGTAGGGTCTGAAGTAGCTCTTCAGTTACTGGAGTGGGGCTCCCTTACTCTGCACATGGCCCTTTCTTGGTCCTCAAGTGGATGCCATGTTAGAATAGACACAATCTCCTGTGCCCTATCCTGTCACCCCCCCTCATCCCAAGAAAGCATGTAAAAAGATGGAGAGAGAACAGATGAAGGAACATAGGGAAAATTTAAGGAATTACTACAAGAAGAGCCAATTCAGAAGACTATGGATAGGAATTTTAGAGAGATAGGAAGTAATCTGTAGAGACAGAACTTGGAGAGGAGACTTCTAAGGAATTGTCTGTGGTAGTAAGGGGGCCAAGAGGCTATGAGAAGAATGATGTAGGCAGTGACCTGAGCCTTAGCTAATATTTGATTTGAATAATCTAGTTAGATGTAATGAAGCGTGAAGTAGAAGGACATAAGAAAAAATAGACTATAGATATAGCTTGGGTTATTTTTCATTTACTTACATTGCCTTTTTGCCTGGCTATACAGGTGTTCATTCCAATTTTTCTATCTATTTATGCAGATTAGCCCATTTATTTCTGGGAGAATTTAATGTTATCTGGAAGTTGATATTGAATTTTCATCTTAGTCAGAAGGAAGAGGTCTCCAGACCACATTATAACTAGAACCAGATTAAGAGTGTTCTAGGACTCCTTTGGAACTAAGGTAACCATATACCTTGGTTTGCATGTTGTCTCAGCATAAATATTGATAATGTCTCTTTTTATTCTTAAAAGTGATCCAGGAGGGACAATACATTGGCATAACCCTACTCCAAGCCTTCTTAAAATTCTAGCTCCATGGTGTATCTGAAAGCATTTTAAAAAATAAAAACCTCCAAGGTAAACATTAAGGAATACTCATCTGTTCTTGAAGAAGGGAAAAAATTTTCTCAATTTTCTCTTGAAGAAAGAAACTCTGAAAGAAAATGTTGCTTAATTTGACAAGTAAAAGGAAAATGTTCTAAATATCAAAAAATACATAAACCACATTGGGAAAAAAAAAAAGCAAGTGACAATCTAGAAAAATATCTGCAGGATATATTAGATACAAAATGAGGAGCCAATTTAAGCAAAAGAGAGAGTCTTAATCAGATTTTAATACTGAAACAATCAGATTCCTTTCTTATCAATTTCATGGCTTCAGTTACCAACTCTACTCTGCTTTTCTTACAACTAGGGAATTCAGTAATTTCAGTACTTATCAGACCTGTATTGTTTTAATACAGAAAACCAGGAGAAAGTATGGATATTAATTGTTCTGGGATAGTTCTCGCCTCCACCCCCACCTTCTGAGCCTTTGTAACCTACTAATAGTTGTCCTATTTTTTGAGATACAAAAGAGCAATGGGATTTCCTTTGTGGTTATTGTGAACCACTTTAATTTTGTTCTTTTATTATTTTGTGTCTTAATTTACATTAAAAATGTGGAAGGTAAAATATATATTTTTAATTCTAAAGCTATTACATCCTTTGAAGGTAATTGTTAAGGATAAATAAGTGTAAAATCTTCCATGGAAATTGCCAATTATTTTATTTTATTTTTTAAATTTGTTTATTGATTAAGGCAGCGGTTCTCAACCTATGGGTCGCAACCCCTTTGGCGGTCGAACGACCCTTTCACAGGGGTCGCCTAAGACCATCCTGCATATCAGATATTTATGATTCATAACAGTAGCAACATTACAGTTATGAAGTAGCAACGAAAATAATTTTATGGTTGGGTCACAACATGAGGAACTGTATTTAAAGGGCCAGAAGGTTGAGAACCACTGGATTAAGGTATTACATATGTGTCCTTATCCTCCCTTTATCCCTCCCATCCCCCCCACTCAAGCCCTCACCCCCCTGTTGTCTGTGTCCATTGGTTAGGCTTATATGCATGCATACAAGTCCTTTGGTTGATCTCTCCCCCTTACCCCCACCCTCCCCTACCTTCCTCTAAAGTTTGACGGTCTGATCGATGTTCCCCCAATTATTTTAGAAAGCTTTTGTATATTTATATAAGCAAGTGTTAATTTAAATACTATATTATAAACCAAGTCTACATTGTTTGATAGCTGAAAAATATATTTGAAATATTGGTGAGTGGCTTAGTTTTGCTCAGGTGTACTATTTCAGGTTTTTAGTATCAGTGACCTAATTGGTTATATAACCGACTTATAACCACAGCATTAATTTTTGTGTTTTTTTCTAATCAAATTGTTTAGGTATTATCTATTATGATAGATGTTTTCCTTTCCATTGAAGACATCACTATAGTTAACTCTTATTTTACCTTGATTGTGCAAAACACAATTAACCTTGTGTTTTCTTTTTCTCTAGCATATGATAGTGATGGAAGATATGCTCAAAGACTTTCTTCTTGGAGAACATCTGTTATTGGTTGGTAACCAGGTAAGTTATGATTATGGCTGGAACTCAAGGTACTAATGAATAAGTGATAGTAACAGTATAAAAGCAGTAAGCTTTTTGTTTTTGTTGGAATAAGTTTTTAGAAATGATTCTTTTTTTTCTTATCTAAATGACTAGTTTAATTAAATGATGAAGGTCTTCTACCTTCTAAATTTTAGAGTCACCTCAGGGTTAAAATCACCCCCAATTTAATCACCCACCAAGTCCTGTCTATTGTACCTCATAAATATCTACTAGCCCATCTCACCATCACCTAGCACCTGGATTATAGCTACAGTTTTCTAATATAGTTCCACCCAGAACTTAGTCCCACTTTGATCTACTCTCTCCTCTGCAGCCAGATTGATACTTGTAAAACTAAAATCTGATTCAGTCTCTCTTTTTTGTTTAAATTGGCTCTGCACTGCCCTTAGGAATAGTCTTCAGTATGGCTTTCAGTGTCCTGCAGGATCTAGGCCAGTGATGGCGAACCTTTTGAGCTCGGCATGTCAGCATTTTGAAAAATCCTAACTTAACTCTGGTGCCGTGTCACATATAGAAATTTTTTGATATTTGCAACCATAGTAAAACAAAGATTTATATTTTTGGTATTTATTTTATATATTTAAATGCCATTTAACAAAGAAAAATCAACCAAAAAAATGAGTTTGCGTGTCACCTCTAACACGCGTGTCATAGGTTCGCCATCACTGACTAGGCTCTGCCACCTTTCTACTCATAAGGCTTGACTCCCTCCTTTCAGGCACTCTATTAGCCAGAGCCTGCAGTTTCTTATCTGGGCTCTAGTCTTTGATGCATGCTCTTCTCTGCATGGAGCACTCCCAGCCCTCTTCCCAGACCCCCTCCCCCTAACTCCAAGGAGGTTTTAGCTAGTCCCTGACTGAGTTAGGTTTCCCCTGCTTCTCTGTGTCTTTCTATCTCCCTGTCATCACACTAGTCATATGTACTGTATTTGTGTGTACAATGATGTCTTTCCAACTTGTCTATATGCTCCTCAAGGGCAGCGACCACACTTCCCTTGCTCATCTCTATATCCTCAGTTTCTAGCGAAGTACCTGCTATATAGTAGATATTCAATATGTGTTTCTGGAGGGAATGGATGAATATTTTATATTTAGGAGGGTTCTGATAATTTTCCTTAATTGAATTGTCAGACTCACAGTAAACAGCACCTTTGGTTTTTTTAAATTGATTTTAACTTAAGGATAACAAGTTTTCAGGAGTTTGGTCTTTATTTTTCCTTTTTTTAACCTATAAAAACAAAACATAGTCCTTATTTAGTTCCTCAGACATACCATTTTAAAGTGCTGACTTTTCTTTTTACAAGAAGTGGGCCAATTGAGTGGTTTACTGGTTGAGTGCACAGGCCTGGCAGTTAACTGGTTAGAGGTCCAATAGCAATACTTTCACAGAGAGCTGTAACTCTGGGCACATTGCTCGTTTTATTGAGGCTCAGTTTCCTTAAATCTAACCTGTAGCACTTTATTGGGTTAATGTAGACATCACATGAGGTAAATCTGTGTATCACTCTACTATTGAAAAGGACTTTAATATTCTCTTGTTTCATTTTTTTCTAAATGATTAAAAGGAAAGTGATAAATTATTCATGGTATTTTTTTACTATTTGAAAAGTTCTACCTACTCTTATATACTGAAAAATCATTTTTCCTGATGAGTTTATATATCACAATAGGAGGAAGATGATCAGTTAATAGTCCAGTATTCAGTCCTTGATATTTCTGAAGCCCAAGGAGTCAGGAGATTCTAAGAGAAATTGACTAAATGTTTTATTTTGTAAATTTGCAACATTTTAATGGAGAAAAACAAATTTGATAGAATCTAGGAGGTGTCCACTTAATAGTTAAGTGGCCCATTCAACTGGACATGGTAACATACTGAGAGTATCAGAGACTGGCAGCATTATCACTAGGAAAGAATAATGCAATACTAATTATTTTTAAATTTCTAGTAATAATTAAGTGCTAATTAGTATTTAGCTAATTAAATGAGGTCTAACTTTGTGCATGCTTACATATACCAGGTCAAGGAGTGAAAATTGGACCAAAGTGGTGGGTTAAAACTACTTAATAGAACTTTTTGAGTACTTTAGCCAATTTCAGTTCCTCTCAAACTTGTTTTCAAAAGCTAATGTTAGTGTTAAGATCTCAGGAAGATTATAGACTCTTTCCCCCCAGCTTTATTAAAGTATAATTGACAAAATTACAATATTTTTAAAGTGTGCAATGTGGTGAATTGGTATATGTATACGTTATTAATAATTACTGCCGGAAGCCGGTCCATCCTTGCTGCTTGACACAGGCGCTGCAGGATAGAAACATCTGCACAGCATATGTTTCAAGGGACCTGGCGTATATAGCATACTGTTCTTACTATGTTTGCTCCCCTTAGCGCTGTGTGTTTTAACCAAGGTCTCCTCTCCGAGAAAGGTTGTTTCCCCAGGTAGGGATTTTTCCCTGAAGTTAGGGAGGGGATGAAACTCCTTAACTAAGTGCCAGGTGGGTAGTTAATCACTTTAACTACAAACAATCATGCTTAAGCTACATAATCTTTACTCCCTGGAATGGAGATAAGAAACGCCCTAACCTTTGTAATAGAAATTGACAGGATTAAAATCAACTGGTATAAATACGGATGTAACAAGACAATAAACAGCAGAACCTCTCTGGAGATCCAGACCAGAACTTGGCTGGAGATCCTGGCTAGGCTGCTGATCAACTGAACGCTCTCTCCGTGTCATTCCTTCTTCGCTGACTCCGTCCACACCTTTGGGGACCACCTGGACCTGCTGGGGTTGGACCCCGGCAAATTACTACTTCCATTAACTACTTCCATTTGGTATATACGTGGGAGGATGAAGTTACCTGTAATATTCGTTGGCAAATTCATAGCAAGTACCCCACACAGAGATGTACTTTGCTAAGGACTGGTATGGAGTTACCAGTATGTGTTCTCTTTTCCTGCTTTTCTCCTTCCAGATTTCTTTTTCGGGAACATGTACATTTGCAGTCATAGTAACTCAGGTCCTTCATCAGCAGCTCTGAAAAAAATTATTTTCTTTATCAGTGGTATTTCAGTATCTCTCTATTTTATGCACCTTCTCACCTTCACTCTTATTTCCATCTTGTGAAACAAAACAAAAAGAAAAAGGCAAGTGAAGGTGCAGTTGATAGGTAAGTTGAGGGCTGCTGCCTCTCAACTCTCATGGGGTAGTGTCACTGGTGTTTTCACTGAAATGCAAAGTGACAGCCATCTGGGAAAATGCCTATTTTAATCACATGACTTATTTTGAATATAAGTAAACCATTTGTAGCAGTTGATCTGGTTCCTTTCTTTCTCTTCATCTTTCTAAAACATTATATGATAATTACTCAAAAAAAACCCCAACTCAATTAGAAGTGAAGCTTTGAATTAAATATTAACAGAGAAGCCAGCAGTGGGTTAGTATAATTATACAATGAAGTGTTAATGAGTGTTCTCTTAATACAAACTGTCTATAGATAGATACAGTCTACCCAGCCTTCTGTCTGCAAAGTAGAAACTGGCTAAAGTCCATGAACGAAACTTTTCAACAGTTGAAGCTGTAAATTTAGAGATGTTTTAAAAGATTGCTTTTTACCAGAGGAAATTACAATGAGGAACTTGAATAGACTTAAGAAAGTGTGTTGATTTTGAGAAATCTCAAGGTTTATCATCTTTATTAAGCCTAATCCCACCTTTTCTTCCCATATAATTCTCTCAAGATTAGACAAGATTTTATAACTATTCTATTGGGAAGCTAACAATTCCATAAACATCCCTTATGGCAAAACGAAGTGACCCTCATCTTTTGGTGAAATAAAATTGATTTTGACTTTATTGGACAATCAGCAATTAGTTCTCATCCACATTGTTTGTAGATTTTTTTTAAGTGGTGACAGGTATGTAGGTGACCAATTTATAAAGTTTGTTTGATGAATCTTCATCCTCATACAATTTCTGGACCAACTATCCAAATATGATATGGGACATGTCTATTCCTTTGGCCCAGACAGCCCTGTTGAGCCTGGTGTCAATGCCTGGTGTCAGTGTATACATATGGAGTTCCCCTATCCTTCATGGCAAATCTCCAGGTCTCTGTGAGTGCCCTACAGGCATGCTTCTTGAAGCCCACTCCATGATGGGCTTGTGAATGTTGATTGTGTATTCTGTGGTCACTACCTCCTTGATGGCAGAACAGCCCCTTCTTCTTGCCACCCTTCTTTGTGGGAGCAATTAGTCTGGACCCAAGTTGGAATGAAAGCAAAATTGATTTTTTTCTCCTTCTAATTTTCTTTGTGGGATTTTAGGGCACAGTACATGTACTTTTCAGTAAGTGAGGCAGAATTGCTGCCGGTTAGCCAAAGCGATATGGTGCCTGGAAATTGCACGTTTGATGGTCCCTTAGCATATAATGCTGCATAGTGTAGAACCACTTTTGTATGCTGTTATATGCAGTATCTTCTACTTACTATGATTATAACATGGCATGTACCTTTCATGCATTTACAAGTTTCATACTGGCTTTTGAAAAAAATCATAGCATGACTATTTATTTCAGCTTTACTGAGAGGGTAAAAGGAGAAATGCCTGTGTATTTTCTGTCAGTGGTACTTCTGTCCCAACTCTATTCAAGATTAATCTTCCTTCCCTCCTTCCACATCTTTTCTTTTGATTTGTAGAGCTATATTCTATTTTATATACAAAACTAGAGGCTTGGTGCACGGATTCATGTACATTGAAAGGAAATTAATTAGAAGGTGGCTGGCGGGGCAGGACTGGGCGAGATGGACCAGGCACACCCTGGAGACAACCTCCCTCGGTCCCTCCCCAGACAGCTGCACCTGGGGAGTGAGCAGGGTCCTTCTGGCAGGTGGGGTCCCTTACCTGGCCTGTGGGAATCTGCCAAAACCAGCAGTCTGACATTCCCAGAGGGCCCACCCCCC